AATTAATAAAGCATGACTTCTTGATGATGATGCATTCATATATGTAAATGCAGTTGCACGTCTTTGATTACCTTGCAATAATATATTCTCTAATTCTAAACTACTATGTACAGATATTTCTACTGCATCCGTAACATTTATATTACCCTGGTTGTCTCCACGAATGCTCAGAGAATGCAGCTTGTTGTTACTCTTATTATCATTCTTTCTTAGTAAGTCATAAACACGACCGTTATATACTTCTAAATAACTCACACGTACTTGATATTGTATGGACGGAGACGATGATGTAAGTTTATGTATAGCAGAAAACAAATATCTACTTGTTCTTGGTATGATCCCCATTAAATCAGCAGCTAGAGATAATTTACCATCAGGACCCAACATAGTATATGTTTTACCACTATTTGTTTGACCATATGCAAATATAGTTGAATTATAACCATATAATGGTAAATGAAGAAGCGGAATAATTGATTCAAATATATCATTTTGAGTTGATTGAGGTAGAAACACATTATCAAATGATAATGGAGGTGAATTAGGTAGAGTAAGAATTGTATTATTGCTAGAGTATTTGAACGGAATTATTTCATATTGGTCGTTTGTACTATTGGGTTTAATTCTAATGAAGACTTGAATTGGAGATAAATTATTTAGATCTATTGATGAAGTAGATGAGCATAATGCATTAGATGCACTCATTGAATACTATTTGCGTAGATTTATCACTGCTAAATCGTTGGATTAATCTTTTGGTTACGGACTTTTTTCTAAGATGAATTTTCTTTTTTTTTGGTTCGAAAACAATCTGGAATAAACTTTGTTAGTATATAGAAGCATTCAGAAATGTTTCAAAGTATGATATTCTTCAAAACAACCTATAATATAAAGTCTAACGTTACATACATCACACTGATAACGTGTATCGGTGTGCTTTTTCTCGCGACTGCTTGTATGACTACAAACTATACAAGATCTCTGTGCTATTTTTCCTGTTGCTGTTAATGGAATAATAACATATTTTTTGCTTTTGTGAGAGTACATATCGAAAGACAATACATTAAAGTATATTAGAATGAAGCAGAATATGAGAAGCAAACATGTCGAAATGCAAGAAGGAGCACATAAACGCATACACAGCTATACAGAATGATAACGCAATAATGTTACCAAGATAAGAGACAAAGAGAGAAATCTTTTCGATGGTCTAAATAATATTATAATGTCGATAATATGTGCAAAGTTCAACACATATATACGCGTGCCCCGTAAGCAAAGGGTTAAAAACGAGACAAATCGCGAAAAAACACGCTTTTGAAAGATGCAATTTTTTAGTTTCAGGCTTTCAGAAAAGTATAACTCGTGTTTAAATTTTTTGAAACGCACATTTATATAAAGCAGCTTTTTGTGCTCTTTCGAATGAAACTAAGCAATAAAGTTTTGAATGTGAAATGACGAAGTTATAGATGAAAAACTGGGAAGACGACGTTTTTCACAATGTTCTGAAAACTTTATTTTCATTTGCGAATAACTTCGTCGTTTTTGGTCAAAACTCGCTCAAAATTTTTTCATAACCGTGGTTTTGGTTCTAGATTTACAATATGTAATAAAAGTGGGGGTCAATTTTTCGCATATTCTGACGATTCTCGATTTTCCCATGCCCTCTCTTTTAATAGTCGTCTCTCTCATGTTCATGAGATAAAATCTCAGATTTTTAACAAAAATTAATTTGTTGGACAAGTACCACAAGAGTGAACCGTAGTCATGTTCGGAAAAGAAAACAATTTTTCGCCATCTTCGGCGGCGATATTTTTCAGAAACAAGTCCTGAACTCTTTTTTGTCATTATGAGGATGGATATTAGAATGGGTCTGATTATCTATTTTTCTGGGAAAAGTCCTAGTTTCTGAATTTCTCTCTGTTTTCTCTTTTCCCTAAGTTTTACGCTTTCGCTACACAAACACAACCAAATATCAATCGGTGAAAAAATATTTTGTCTTCGTACCTGATGCAAATATTTAAGGATTTGTGAAAAACTGCCATCAAAATCATAGAGGTTTTTCTAAACAATTTTATTATTATTGAGGATTAGAATTTAGAACTTGAGCCTCATCATTCTTCCAAAAAGTGTGGTTCCAGTTCAGCAAAATCTTAAAAATCTAGAAAAGCAAGCAGAAACGAGGAAAAGTCAAAAAACGGAATACTGTGTAAGAAACAAACAATCTTGCGATTTTGAACATCACCCTTGATGGCCGAAAAATCAAGATACCTGCAGACTGACTAAATAAAGGAATCCGCAATACAAAAAAAAATGATATGAAAATCGGGAATTTTTCCAACAGTCGTCTTCGACGGCGGTTTTTTCTTTTTGCAGATTTCTAATCTCATGATAGTTTTGCCCACTGTTTTCGAAAGAGAGATGTAAGTTTAGTTTCTACTTCAAAAAAGGTTCATGTCTGTCTAGAAAACTTGTATACTCAGAAAAATGCAAAACAGAAACGGAATACAAACGAAAAAGTCATCTATTCAAATGATGAAATTAAAAAGTGAAATGTTGTCGACGAACTGTGATTAATATTTTTTATACTTTTGTGATGAAATTTCATGATTCACAACATGACACATTATTTTGTTTTTCTGTAACATAGTAACTACTTCTTTCGCTTAAGTGTTGTAAATGGCTTCGATGAATCATAGTGAGCTGTATCGTGTTGAATTTTAATGTAACCCTACGAGATGTCGCTGAATCACACAAATTCAATGTTTCTCTCTGCTCGCTGTAATGTATTACAAATAAAAGCATGATCGTTTTTGCATAGAGACGTTGACACATGGAAGAATACATTAAAAATTTTTGGAAAATCACTGATAGTTTATAAAAAATGCTTCCAAAAAACTCAAATACAGGCGCTGTTTCAAACTATCCGTTTTTGGTTGTATTTTTCTTTTGCAATTTTTTAAAGAATATTCACCATATATAAACGGCTTGTGTACGCGTAGCGGCATTACATTTGTGACACATTTTTGCACAATTTTCTCGGAAACTGAAAACGGTAGAACGCTCGTTCAAACGCCATTCGACTCAGCTCACAATGCTCTGTCTACGATAACAATATAAAAAAAATTGAACAAGATTTGCACACTTGGCAGTTAAAAAAAGCTTCCGTGACCGTTTTACAAAAAGATCCTTTTTTTCTAAGAAGTGCTAAATAATTTTGAATTTTCTGCGAACTATTAAGAATAACCAAGATCTTCCAAGAGGTAAAAAATTGGGGGTGGTTTTCCTAGCAAAATCGGGTGGGTGTGGGTGTCGGTGTCGGTGTGGATGTTGTTGGTTCCGCTCTACACCTAGCCACACGCACACCCGTATCCACATCTACACCCACACCCAAGCCCTACAGACTGTTTTCGTTTTCTTGCTTGTTTCTCTCGTCAATAGCTTTCCAAGTCTTCTCATGTTGGATGAATACTAAATCAATATTTAAAAATATATCCATTATAATAACAAATATAGCAACTATTGTTAAAGCAATAATTGCAACAAAAATAAATGACGTAGGAAGGGTGTAGATGTGAGTTTAGGAGTTGATCTGCCACTTAAGAACATCCACATCCATCCTCTTTTTTTCTAAGTACTATGATATACTGTGATTGCTCGCCAGTCTGAGGTAGCTCACTGTGGATGTACTCATTTGAGAATTAAAAAAGTTCTTGATTGTGTGTGCGTGTGTGATAACAAGTCGAGAGAAAGTGGTAAAAAAATGACAGTAGTACTAGAAGAAGAATTTATTCAATAGAAAAAAAAGAGAATAAAATTTAAAGTGTTACTCGAATTTTTTCAAATGTTTCTTTAAAGTCCAAAAGATGAGGATGATCCGAAGGTAATTTTGCTTGAGCAATTTCTATCGCTTTTTGAACGTTTTCCATCGCCACACTATGTTCTCGAGTAGCCAAATATAATTTTGCCAAACTATGATTGATAACAGCTAAGTCGGGATGATCTTTTAGTAGATTCCTTTCGTGTATTTCTAATGCTTTTTGAAAAAATGCCAATGCTGTTGCATAATCTTTCATTTCTCGATAAGTCTCACCTGTATTCGCATATATTGTTGCACATTCTAAAGGACTACATGGCACACTTTCTTGAATATTCAATGCTTTTAGATGATATGAAAGTGCCATTTCATAATCCCCTAATAATCGATGAACATCACCCATGAAACTGTATGTCATACAAAATTTTGAATTTTTTTCAGTTAATGTATGATTAAATATTGTGAGACACTTTTCAAAATAATCAAGTGCCTTGGAGTGCTCTCTCATACTGTGATAAATTCTTCCGAATTCAATATATGTGTAAGTGAACTCTAGATTACCTTCTTCAAATATTTTTTGCTGAATCTCAAAAGAATTTTGAAGAGTCTTAAGAGCTGATGCGAAATTACCCATTCTTTGATAACATGCTGCCAAGTTCCTATAACTAATGGCAAAATGAGGATGATCCGGAGATAGAGATTCCTCTCTGATTTTAAGTGCTTTTTCGAAAAACTCAAATGCTTTCGAATAGTCACCCATGTCTTTATACGCAAGACCGATGCTGTTGTAGGAGAAAGCGAAATCGGGATGATTTGGATGAAGAGATTCTTCTCTTATTTGAAGTCCTTTTTTGTAAAACTCAAGTGCTTTCGAATAGTCACCTATGTCTTGATACAACGCACCGATGTTGTTGTAGGAAATAGCCAGATCGGGATGATTCGAAGGTAAAGATTTTTCGTGGATCGTATGTGCTTTTTCGTAAAATTCAAGCGCTTTCGAATAGTTACCCATATTGTTATACGCGATAGCAACGTTGTTGTAGCCGACAGCCAAGTCGGGATGATTAGGAGGCAAGATACTTTCCGTGATTTCTAGATCTTTTTCGTAAAACTCAAGCGCTTTTGCGTAGTTACCCATGTAGTGATATACGGCACCAATGTTGTTGTAAGTTTCCGCCAAATCAGGATGATTCGAAGGCAGACTTCTTTTTCTTGTTCTAAGTGCTTTTTCAAGGAATTCAAGTGCTTTCGAATACTCGCCCATTTTGGTATATACTTCACCGATATCATCGTAAGTGTCAGCTAATGAAAGATGCTCTTCAGGAAGAATATTTTTTTTGATTTCAAGGGATTTTTCATAAAATGAAATCGCATCTTTGTATTTTCCTGCCATGTTATTTACGCATCCAAGTTGATGATAGACTTCTGCTCTATCACTATCACTCGATGAATTTTTGAATAATTCATTGTAAAGATCTTCAGCTTGGTTGAAGTGACCCGCTCGAATCATTAAGTCACCCAAACGCTGCCATCCTGTCGATCCACGCAGCTCTCCTTCTATCCGATCAGTGAGCGCAGCCAGTTGTGGATCATTATGGTCTGTTAGAGTCAATTGAACTTCCCATAGACGATTATTGTTGATCGTCTGCTGGATGTCTTCGACACGAAAAATGCTATGCATTGAAAATAAAGTTTCCTTTTCCCTTGTAATAGCACTGTATGCATCGATAAGTGCAAACGGAGCGTTTGAGATTGACACGCTACTTGGATCGATTGTGATAATGAAGAGAACACCTACAGTATCAATTTTTTGCAGTGCACGTTCAATGAATTCCATGGCAACGTGTTTTTCTGTACTAGTAGATAAAAAGTTGTTAAACGAGAGAAG